AAGTTTTGAGACTGGAGAAGATGTATAACTGAGAACTCTCTTTCTCTCTCTCTCTCTATCTTTATATATTATATATATATATATATATATATATATAGTGAACATAAAGTCAACAGTTTAGAAGCGACAGTCTCATGCTATATGCAATCGTCAGGCCTGACAATTGCATATAGCATGAAATAGACTGTGCCTCTAAGTGTTGACTTCTATGTTCACTTTTATATTTACACACGCTCTATATCTGATATTGAGCACTTTATTCCATAAATATAGCACACCTTAAGACTATATTTCTTTATATATATATATATATATATATATATATTAGGAGTTGCTGAATAACGAAATGTGTATAGGCAAGTGGTAAATACTGAATGCACAAATGGTTTAATGGATAGCAGTTCAGGATGCGAAATTTGAAAGTTAAGTTCAAATTCCAGATGGATTTGTTGCAATCACTTATGCATAAATGCCCTTCAGAAAGATATAGATCTCTTTTTTTCCAAGCTATGAGTTAAATAGCAGGGCAGACTGACTCTTTAGCCATGGTTGGCAATCACTCTAGGTGAAGAAAAATTATGTGGCAGAGATAGCTTAAGAAATATTTCTGTTAGTTTTTAACTAAAGTGTTTCATCAAAAACAACTCATTGAACATTTTTGCTAGGATTAATGCTATGGATTATGCGACTATAGCATTATTATATTGCTCCGTAGTTCTTCAATGTCCTGGAAACTGTCAAAGCATCAAATCACTGATCATTAAACACCATCTTTGATGGTCAAGACATGTAGCAAGAGTGGAAGAGTCAAGGTTTCCACATTAAGTCTTAATCTGTGAGCTTTCTTCAGGGACAAGAGTTGCTCTCTTTGAAGATATAAGGACCAAGTCAGAACAATACTTGACTTGAGCTTAAATCATTTGAAACACAAGACTGTACCAACTGGTGATGTTCCATCACCATGAGAATCAAAACTTTGATGACACAAAAAGGGAAAAGAAAAAAGTCAAACAAAAAACAGAAAGGGTTGACAAAATTGACCTTGTCCAAAATCAACATTACTATGCAATCAATTTCATTGACTCCTCTATGCAAAAATTGGCTGACTTGTCATCAATGCCATCATCAGAAAGGAAGTGATCAGAATGAAGTAATTAAATTCTTGGATACAAAATAAAGCCGCTGCCAATGACTATAGTTCTTTATACATAAACATTCATATATATATATATATATATATATATATATATATTACAGAATAACCAAAAATAGGAAACTTATATAGATTTAACATGTCTCACTTTAATTCAAGCTTTGTCAAAAATTAAATATGGAGGAGAAAAGAAAATTCTGTTATCTTTTATTTTTGTCTTGTTTTTCATTGGTCATGTAGACCTTGTGTTCAATCTATAAACATTTCTTATTTGTTCCTTATCCTATCATTGTGCTGGATTATAATTAATCTACATTTGACCCCAGTTCATTTATATATATATATATATATATATATATATATATATATATATATATATATATATATATATATTTATATATATTAAAATAATAAGAACAGTAATATTTATTTATAATCCGGTGTTCTTAACAGTAACTTTTTGTTTGTAAAAAAACAGTGTTTGATACAAAACAGTAGAGTAAAAATTATAATTATTTTCTTTTTTAAAAATATGATTCCATCGTGACAGAAAATTTCCATGTTTCAAAACTGATGAATTTTAAGTTTAATTTTAATAATTGAATTTATAAATTTAGTTTCAGGACAAAGTTTCTAACAATTTTTAATTTAAAAATCGTTTTCTTGCTTTTTTATAAATATATATATATATATATATATATATATATATATATATATATATATATGTATGTATAAGGTTGTATGTAAAATTTAATAGAAACTCTCTATGTTTGAAAATTTAAAAAATGTGTGTGTGTGTGTGTGTGTGTGTGTGTGCGTGCGTGTGCGTGCAAGGTTTCGTCCGGGGAGGTAGACAGGGCCTGAACCCGTCTATATATATATATATATTTTTGGCCGAGCCCTATATCGAAGATACCCACATAAACCGACCTTGTGCCACATTCAGTCCTCGTGGGTGGATCAATAAATAGCGTGCATGCGTGTGTGTGTGTGTGTGTGTGTGTGTGTGTGTGTGTGTGCGTGCGTGCAAGGTTTCGTCCGGGGAGGTAGACAGGGCCTGAACCCGTCTATATATATATATATATTTTTGGCCGAGCCTACGGGCTCGGAGATACCCACATAAACCGGCCTTGTGCCACATTCAGTCCTCGTGGGTGGATCAATAAATAGCGTGCGTGTGTGTGTGTGTGTGTGTGTGTGTGTGTGTGTGTGTGTGTGAAATTTGTTTGTTGAGAGTTATTATTTTTTGTTGTAGAACCTGAGGTATATGTCCATTACAAGCTATTTGAAATAGACATTTTTTGAGAAGTATCCCTAGCCAATTTGATAAATGGCAGCATAAAAATTTAAATATTTAAGCCAATTCTTCTTTTTTTTTTTTTTCACTTCTTTTTACTTTACCCCTAAAAAATTCTAGGTCATAATTTCATTTCTTTCTGGCAATGTTTCATCCTTTAAAAAATGCCCCTTAATTCACAAACATTGAATGAAATATTTCACCTGTCTTTCTGTCAGTAACAAGTCACAATCTTTTTGTTGTTGAAAACAATGTTTTTTTCTCTTTTTTATTTGATTCATTTTTCATATTTCAGCTATTATTCTTATATTTTTTTCTATTTCATTTTTTATTTATTTTTATTGCTTAGCTCCACATTCATTATGTAATATATCAGCAAAATTCACCAACGTTTGCCATCTTCAAGTTGGCTATTGAAGCTGGCACAGCACAAAGCCCTTGGCATTATCTCAAAGAGAGGCTCTACATTATCTCAAAAAGAGGTTCTACATTGTTCTTGGCTAACCACAATAGTGGCTCATTGTAATGATGGATGACCATAAAACAAAAAATTTAAAAAATACTAAAACAAAAGTGAGCAACATTTCTTGTTTCTAAATTAAATGGAGTTCTTTGAATGATCATTTTTTTCTATAGATTTCATTTTATTTACAATGCATATATGTAAATATACTTATCTGAATATACCTGTATTCATGTATATACACACATTTACATGTAACACTTTATATTATATATATATATATATGTGTGTGTGTGTGTGTGTGTGTGTGTATGTGAATATATCTGTTTCCTTCAATACCTACTTACATATGCACATATGCAGGTTCACATGGTCAAAACTGAAGGGAACCTATATACAATTCCCAGGTGATAGAAAATGGTTATTTATCAACATGGTAGACACAAAATAAAGTCGACATTTCAACTGTTTTTGGTTTTTTTAATATCTTACAGCCATCGTTGTGTTTATATATTTTCAGGTACAGCAGGCTTTTAAAAGATTATTGTCCAGCAACATGGATAAACATGACAGTGCAAGAAGTTTTAAAAGCAAAAAAAAAGAGGGGAAAAAAAGAGCAGCAGCAGACAAGAAACATTCGTGTGGAACATATTCAGAAGGCTATACAGAAAAATATTTCAACCAAACCACATTGAAAACAAAGAATAGAAAAAAAAATAATCAAGCAAATTTTTTCATCATAAAATGTGTTCTTATTTTTTATTTGTTTTTTTTCTTTCCTTTTCTCTCCTTTTTGTCTTTTCCCTCATTTCTTTTATCTTTCCTTTTTCTTTTGTTTTGTTTTCATTCTTTTTTCATCTTTTCAGTTTTTTAAATTTTCTAATTCTTTCTCATTCATTTGCTTATCTCCTGCTCTTTTTGTTTCATTTTATTTCACTTTATTTTAATTTTATTTTTCCCTAATTCTTCATTTTTTCAGCTTTATTCATTTTTCACTTCCTTTTTATTCTTTTATTATTTAATTTCCATCCATTCTTTCAGAACTACAATTTTCTCTTTAATTTTTTATTTTGTCAATATTATTTCCATTTTTATTCACTTCCTTTCTTTTTTTCTTTCTAATCTTCTCACCATTATTTAATCCTTTTCTTTTTCTTTCTTTCTTATTTCCTTTCTTTCATTCTAATCTCCTTGCCATTTTAATTTCTTGTTTTTTCTTTCTTTCTAATCTTCTCACCAATTTTTAATTCCTTTTTTTCTTATTTTCTTCCTTTCTTTCTTTCCTTTCTTATTTTTCTTACTTTCTAATCTTCTCTCCATTTTTATCTCATTTCTTTTTCTTTCTTTCTTTCTTTATTTCTAATTTCTCTCCATTTTTTATTTTCTTCTGTCATTTCTTTATTCCTTAACTTCTTGCTATTTTTCATATTTTTTTCTTTCTTTCTTTCCACTATTTTTATTTTCTTTCTTTTTTCCTATCTTCTTTCCATTTTTTATTTTCATTTTTCACATTTTATTTCTTTTTTCTTTTTATTCTTCAATATTTCTTTATAAGTAATCACTTTTTCCTTTTTTTTTTCTCACATTGTCTTTTCCATTTTCCTTTCCAACTCTCGAACTTCTTTGTTTTGACCTATATCTTACCTATTTTTTTATTTTTTTTTGGCCAGAGTTTCCTTTTAGGATTTCTTACCTATCTTTTACTTTTCTTTTTATTCTTTTTATTTCTTGAAAACTAGTTGATTGTTCAGAAGCTTCTAAATTGCAAGAAACAGAAAGATTTTTTTCTCCCAAATCTTTTCTGTGCATTCTTTTTATCTACACAAAATCTTTTTATGGTGTGCAAACAAATTAGATTGTGGACATGATTAAAGTTAACTGGGGATTTTCAAGTAAAACCAAATAATGTAAATAAATTACCCACTATTTTCCCTTCAATCTATTTTTCTTCATTCTTTTGTCTTAAATTTTTAAAAAGGTTTTTTTTTTGTTCTCTGGGCTTTTACTCCCTCTATTTTCTGTTTACCCTGCCTTTAATTTTTCTTTTCTGTTCTATTTAATTCTTTCCTATTTGTATCACATTTTTTATGTTTTTAACTTTATTTCAACGTTACTTTAAATCTTTCATTCTTTCTTGCTCCCTTTTCTTTTCTACCATTTTACAAACCTGCTTGTCTTCTTTATTTTTTTTTCTTTCTTTTCTGCCTGTTTTTCTTTCTTTTCTACCTGTTTTTCTTTCTTTGTTTCTTTCTTGTTTTTCTTTTCTACCATTTTACAAACCTGCTTGTCTTCCATACATACATCTTTCTTTCTTTCTTTCTTTCTTTTTGTGCTTTTTTCTACCATTTTGCAAACCAGATTGTCAGTTTCTTTCTTTCTTTCTTTCTTTCTTTCTTTCTTTCTTTCTTTCTTTCTTTTGTGCTTTTTTTCTACCATTTTGCAAACCAGATTGTCAGTTTCTTTCTTTCTTTCTTTCTTTCTTTCTTTCTTTTTTTTCTTTTTTACCATTTTACAAACCTGCTTGTCATCTTTGTCACTTTCTTTCTTTTTGCATACCTTGTTATCTTTCTTTCTTTTCTACCATTTTACAAACCTGCTTGTCATCTTTCTTTTGTTTTCTTTCTATCTTTCACTATACATTTTTATATTTTCTTTCTTTCTTTTTTCTTACTTTCTTTCTCTCATTCCATATAGGACGGTAAACGATTCAAAGAATATTTCCCCATTTTATTCTTTTTTTTGTCATGAGTTTTTCTTTTCAGATTATTTCATCCCTCAGTAGGTTGCTGCCACAAATGTTTGAGCCATCTTTTTATTTATTTATTTATTTTTCATTTTAAGAAATAGCTTTCTTAAGATTCTGCCAGAAAAGAAAGTTTTTTTTTTTCCATTTTACTATTCTCTTGTTTAAATGTCATACATTTGTAGATACATTTACATCTTGCACTCCATACTGCAGATTAGAGATAGGCAGATGGATCATTTTCATACGCCTGTAGGTTATCAACGCACTTCCAGTAACATGCTTTGAGAATTATCTTCTCATCACAAAATTTTTTAGAAAACATTTTGCAGTAGTACATAGCCAATTTTTTTTTAGAAAACTTTTTCACAAAATTTAATTATTCTTGGAAATCGTATCTATAACAGGTACTCACACCAAACTAATACAATAAAGTTAAGCAATCTTGTCACTCTTCAGTAACAAATGAACAAACAGTTGCAGTGCTAAGCTTTATCATGGATAATTCCATGAGATTTGAAAGAAGAAAGGACAAAATAACCACATCAGCTTTATGGATTGGGATATAAACATGGTTAAAATGGTTATTTGATGACATCTATTTAAAGTAGAATCCAGGATATGTGTTCAGTTGACATGTTCTGACAATAAAAAAATGTTTCTAATATATTACAAGACAAGAGTAAAAAGCAATAAAATACAAAATATATGCAAAAATAATAATTATAATGTTTAAATCTAGAATGTTGGCAATGATGGCACTCCATAATTTCCTGTCTTTCATAGCTTTTAATAAATTTCATCTTTTTGTTATTTCTCCTAAACCTTGTACTACCATCCATTTACTGAATCTAAGTATTTTGTGCATTATTTTCCTATCTTCCTCTTGCCTTCAATATGTTGTGAGTATCAGATATTCCAAGCTCTCTTTTCTCATTATATGCCTTAGAAATTTCAACTCTTTCTGATTTTAAGTATAAGTTCCCTTTTTGTTTCCATCTTCTCTAAAACTTGCTCACATGCTTGGTCTATGGTATTCTCAACATCCTTCTGTAGAACTACATTTCTGTTGCTTCAAGTCTCTTCTTCATCTCTGAGGAGATTATGTTGCATTCACTGCCATATAGGAGGACTGATATCACGTAACAGTTTAGTACTCTTTTCTTTGTTTCTAATGACATCTTTCTGTTGCTTAAGAGATTTAAATTGACAAAATTATTCAATCTCTCTACTTTCATTCTACATGGTACTACCTTAGGCAAAAGAAGGAGTGGCATGTACAGGAAAAAATGGGCTAACAACAACATTGAGTGGACTAGAGATCCTTCATACAGGCTCAGGCACTGGCATGCAACTGAGACATATGGAGGAAACTGGTCATAGTCATGTATCTGATAATGATGTTTTTGCATCTCAGAAGGGTGATTCAGTTTCTGAAATCTACTATTAAGTGTCAGAACAGGTTCAGAGTTCAAAAGTATTTAAAAAAATCATTCATATTCCATTGGTGAGATGTAAAAACATCATTATCAGATACATGACCATGATCAGTTTCCACCAAATGTCTCAGTTGCATGCCAATGTCTGTATGAAGGATCTTCTAGTCCACTCAGTGTTGTTGTCAGCCCATTTTGAGATGTAAGTTCTATTCAAGCAGCTTCTTTCCACAAATCGTTGCTTTGTGGATGCGACTCCCAAGATGTTTCCCTTATCACTAAAATCTTCACCTTTTCATGTCTACATAAACTGTGCCTCTTACCTTGTAACTTTCTGCCTCGAGTGGCTCTCAGGCCATGTGAGCAATCATATTGAAATTGTCAGGTTGTGAAAGAAAAATTAATGCGAAATAAACTTACAAATGTGTTTGACCACTGATAAAACATTTTAAAATCATACTACTCAATGTGTCCTTTGACTTGAATGGTCAATATTTTGTGGGTATCAGATATTTTACAAAGTATGCAAACAGTCCAATACATAAAAATATTCTTCAGATTTTGGTTTATTGAAAGTGACTAAGCAGTAGCAAATATTCAAATTTTGGTAAAACCCATGTTTTTATTATCCAATTTTATTATAGGTATGCCATTTTTAATAATGATATTGATCTTAACATGGAACATTACCATGACCTTAATAGTTAGAATGTTAGCCTCTCAGAACATAATGGCCAAAGCGAAATTGATCCTCACTCAGTGTCCCACACTTGTAGCATTATGCTATACATAGTTAAGATTTTCATCTCATCAGTAAATAGTTAGCAATCTACCGTTATTATTGAATAGATTTGGATACACACTGTGAACCAGTCTAAGCAAAGCTCATTAAAGATTATCAGCAAGTGGAACAGCCCAAGATGCCAGTTATGAATTGGAGATGTCGAAATCAAGCAAGTAGAGAAATTCAAATGTAAGTGTTTTAACAGATGACAAAAAATATGACAACAAAAAATAAATGTACATCTCTTGTAATTAAACAATAATTATCAACTTTCAAACATTATAATATTGTTATTGGCTTTTGTTAAGATTTTTTTCTTTCTGAACAGTGAGCTTGCTTCTAACTTGCATTACACAACTGAATTGACAGTAGAGAGTAGAGTTGTGTTAAATATTTGTCCAAGGTTTAGATAACCACTTTATGGCTCAAACTTGTGCCAATCATAGAGACAGCAACAACCTCTTTTTCAAAATCTGATCGATGAAAAGAAAGATAAAAACATTGAAAGAATATTTTTGGATTTCATTTTGTTTGTTTCTCAAAGATTTTCTCTTTTAAGATTATTTCATCCCTCAGTGGGTTTCTGCCACAAATGTTTTGATGAAAATATTTTTTTTTGTCTTGATTTTTATCAATAAAAGAAATAAGTTTCAAAGAGTTGAATCTGAAAAGAAAGTTTTTTTGCTCTTTATGAACCTACTTAGTTTCTGAGACAGAGAATTTTTTGGAATCTGGCACTTATAGTCAGTATTCTAGCTGAATAATAAGTACATGTGGGAGATATGGTCTTCCACATGTACTAATTATCCACATGTTATACTTGATATGTGAGTAAGTGAATGACAAAATTATAAAATTAAAAAATTTTTTATGCATTTCGTCCTTTGATCGGACTTCCTCAGATTAATAATTCTCTTATCGATGGAATCACATATATGTAGTTGGAGAAGAAAGACAACAAATGCCAGTTACATCTAGAGAAATGCTGAATATACAGGGATTCTTAAGCTTAAATATTTGATGTCTAATGTGCCATGATGCATAAAATAGATGATTTCATTCTGCTTTCTACCACTTAAGGTTTTATTTATATTGCTATTGTTTTTAAATAACCTACATTTCGATAGCAGTAATTTTGTTAAGAAAAGAGATATCTTCAATGATCTAGGAGATAAATTTACTAAAATTTTGAAATTCGTGCACTTTCAATACATTTTACCTTAATGGATTACATTCTCTTTGAATTACATCTATCTAGTTCAACAGTGAAATGGTGAGACCTAGTTGCCACTCAAGTAACACTCTTAAATTCATGCAGTCAATGGATCAAGGACAAAAGCTAATCAGAACAATTGCCATGAGAATATTTGTTTTGAAGTTGTCATTTTTCCCAAAACTTATAATTATCTGTATTTATGAATGATGGAAATGAATTATGCAAATACTAATCAAAATTATGGCATAACTGAGGTTAACTAGTCTGGTTGTAAAAAATATGGAAGAATGTTTTGTATCTGGAACAATTTTTATAGATTAGTATTCATTAGACTTTCATCTAAGTACCATGTTTGTCAGAATAAAAAAAATATTGAGGGAGTCCTTTTCATAATATAAATAGAGAGAAAAATTGATCCCTGACGTTTTAAAGAGTTATCTGTACTTTGCTTTTATTTACAAATGTAAAGTTTGAAACTTTGTTGAAGTCATTGATAACTGCATACTACTAATGTTGTCCTTTCCCCCACAATTCATAATTATATGCATTTATGAATGATCTAAATTATATCCTTCAAACCAATAATGCTTTTATCAATGAAGTCAGATTAAGGCATATAGAGGTGGGAAGAAATGCAACGAATGTCAATTCAGTTTTACTCTGAAAATGCATAAGATACCAGGACACTCCATGCAAGGCAGTAAAGCCACTAAGACACAAGGGGTTACTGGGTGTGGAAGAATTTGAAACAGAAACATTACTAATGAGTGGGAAAAGAAAAGAAAATCAGGAAAACAGTAGATAGCAATTGACATTGCATTTACATTTTTGCAGATTAAAGTTGGCTGTATTTAGTTTTTATTTGAACATTTTAAGTTTCCATCTTCACACTTCACCCCTCTCATCTCATTCTCACTCTAAAACTGTTTAGCATGGCACAATAAACCAATGTTCCTAGCAGCAGACCTAGCAATTGATTAAATATAATCTTTCCATTTCATATCAGTGAAAAACATTAGCCTGAGAAGGTGCAATGAGTTATTCTCCTGGAGGTTAGCATCAGCCATGCTGATTGAAGGCAAAAAGGGGTGTCTCAGATGATTAATAAAGAGCAATTTCATTTTAGAAGTGTTAAAATTAACAGGCCATTCCTTGCCCCAGTTAACAACAGAATGTAGATCATCCTTTAGATTAGCTGTCAATTTGACATTATTGAACTGATCAGACTTACTATAATTTTAAAATCAATATTTATTATCCCTCAATCTTTGCAGCATAGTGTACCAAAGAGACTATCAATATCATTCTGTCACTGTATATAACTACAAAGAAAATCAAATTCAGTTAATTGATAAATTAATATCTGTAAACGATCATAAAACTTTTAGCCTCAATGAATTTCACCACATGTCTATAAAAATCAAATAATTTATTTGCTTAACAGTATTCAGAAAGAATATACCCAAAAAGTTTCTATTGTAGTCAATGCAGAACTTAACCTTGCCAGAAGAGAGTTTTGTAAG